TCAGCACCACATAAAAATAAATAAAATGAAGATATTGTGCCCAACTACAATTAAAAAAATATATTTTTAAAAAAAAATTATTAAAAAAAAGTCAAGAGGTGGGGGCTAAAGTTGTGGCTCAGTGGTAGAGCACTTGCCTTGCACATGTGAAGCACTGGGTTGTATCCTCAGCACCACTTAAAAATAAATAAAATAAAGATATTATGTCTATCTGTAACTAAAAGAGAGAGAGAGAGAGAGAAATCAAGAGGTGGACCTGGGGAGGAATTGTCTGGAAAGTTCCCTGGAACTCCGTACCCATCCAATAAAACTGAAGTACAACAGAGATGTACCATCCCTCTCCTTTCTGAGAGGACCCAGTCTCCCCTGAGGCCCTTTTCCCCTTTCCCAAGCCTTCAAATACACTCATGCCTGTTACTCTGAGCAACATGTCTGAAATATTTTTGGCATGATTGCAAGAATTTGGGTTTGAAGGGGGTCCTCCACGCTGCCTCAGTTTCTCATTAGGCCTTGGCCCTGTAACAAAACCCCAACCCCCACCCCTTCTTCCTGAGACTGTGACCAATCGCTTTCATATAAGACAGTTTGACCTTTGCCACACCAATCACAATTCCCAACCAACAAAAGATGTAATTAGCAAACCCTTGCAATTTAATCTAGAAAAGCTGTCACACTAGGGAGTGTGGTCTTTATCCTGCCTAGAATAAGGCCCTGTAGGTTCCTGAAGCAGAGGAGGGAGCAAAGCCTTGCAGGGGGCAATAGATGTCAAGAGCAAGGTCAGAGAAAAGAGGACAAAGAAAAATCCAGACAAGCTAAAGAAGCTAAAGATGTTCAAAATTCCAATGGGGGAGAAGAAGCAGAGGAAGTAGAAATGAGGGAGAAGACATATCCCAAATCACATCCTGATTTCTCCTGTCTTAGTAAATTAATATGATCAGAGATGTCATTCATTCAACATTTATGGAGCATCTACTATGTGCCAAACACTGTTCTTGGTGCTAGAAATACAGATAAAAAGCCCTACCCTTAAAGACCTGACAAGGAGAGCTAAATGAAGAGTCATAAACATAATAAACACGTTACCTAGTAGGAAGAAGGTTAAGCCTTCTGGGGTGAAAAAGAGCTTGATAAGAAGGGTGGTGCAGCTTTAAGCTCAGCAAGATCTCAGTGAGAGACTCAGCAGATAGGTGGAGATAAGGGAAGGACCCACTGAACACTGGGAGAGCATGATATTCATTCTCCTTTCATTCCTTATGAATGGATGTGCTGGGGCCACAACTTTGTTCCTTAATAAATGGCTCATTAAGCAAAAGGGAATGAGGCATGGTTCCCAATCCCAACCATTAAAAAAAAAGAGCAGGGACAGAACTTTCCTTATTCGATCCAGTTCATCTGGTATTACATGAGAACTCGACAAATGAGTTGCATCAATTGATTCATTCATGATCAGTAATTCACTGGGAGAAAGACACCCACCCCCTCCATAAGTCTCCCTTTAAATGTCAAACTTTTTTGACATACCATTTTTCATAGAAACAATATCAGCGGGTTTTTAAAGGCATAAACATAACTTATGATTAGAACACGATTTCATTTTTTATTTTCCCTTCCAGTCTTTGTGTGCATGACATATGTACAATTTCATGTGTTGTAACCACAAACATAGGATTTTGAGTGTTTTTTTTTTCCCAATTACCATCATGTTGTAAGAATTAGTCTTTCGCATTTCCTAGCCCTTGTAATGGATAATGAATGCCAGGGGTCATTCACTGCCTGCCAGCTAAAGCAATGTTATTTTCAACATTTTTTAATTCTACAATGGCCAGGGTCTAGTGGGCTCCATAGCTCAGTTGTCAGAACACTGGCCTTGTAAACCAGGGCTCACAAGTTCAATCCTCCCAGGGGTCTTGTACTCAACGTGCTTTTTCAAATATCAGACCTGAAAACACACACACACACACATACACACACACACTCTCTCACATACACGAGTAAAAAATGCCAAAACGGACAAAGTGATTCCTGGCAATTTACTTTGACAATATTATTCCTACTGAAATTGATGTTATGTATCCCTAACGTGATTACAGGTTAGAAAAGACTCGAATGCAACCAAAAGCAGGAAAAAGGGAAACCACAAAAAGGAAAAGAAAAAAAAAAAAAAGCTTACACTGCAGCCTGAACTGCAGTCCACAACACCAGAAATGAGGTGTGAGGTTTCGCGGGCTTGTTTTCAACCCCTATCTCCAGGAACCATCCACCTAATTAACCGAGGTGTCGGACTTAGCCAGACAAGCGGTGAACTTGGCCGCGCGGGAACGGAGCGGACCAGGCGCTGCAGTAACGCCGCGCAGTCGGCGGGCGGCGCTGTGGCACCGCTCCCCATCGCCTGTCCCCACTGCCGCGGGTGCGTCCCCCCCACGCCCTTCCCGGGCCCGAGCGGTGGCCAGCTCCGCCTGGATGCCGGCCGGCGCTGTGGCTGACACGTGGCAACCGGGCCTGCAAGTCCAGCCTGGGTCCAAGGTCCTGCCCTTTGGAAGGGCGGGGAGCGACTCCCAAAAATAGAGCCTTGGCTACTTAGAAGTCAGTCGTGTGCTCAGCCTTTCTCTTTTCTTCGTTTTTCTCCCGAATTCCAGAAAGCCGCGTGACTCCAGAGTCACCAGAGGAGGATGCCAAGAATCTTTTATGAACACACGAATTTTCCCGACTCGAGATTCCGTTTCCCAGATCTTCGGACCAAAACTCGATAAAGGGCTGTGTGTAAGGTCGCCAGGAGTCACTTGTGCTCCTGGAGTATTTGAAATGTGGCAAACTTGAATTGAGATGGGTGAAGAGTGAAGTACACATCGGATTTAGAAAACTCATAACAAAAACTGTTGTGGTTTTTTTTTTTAAGTATAAACTATGTCATTGGTAAATTTTAATTGATTACAGAAATAATAATAATTTTCAACATGCTTGGTGAAATGGATATTTAAATTTACCTAGTTTTTAAAGGTGGCCATTAGAAATTTTCGAGTTACATCTGTGGCTCCCTTTAAGATCTCAGGTTATCTTTCTGTTGAATGGTGCAGGTTTAGTGTGTCAGAGTCCTATGACCTTATCTTCAAGTTAATTCTTAACCTGTGCTCACACTAGACAAACAATTGTAGGTGAACTCTTTTCACCTGTGGTCTCCAGGAGTTCTGCACCTGGCAAGAAGTAAGCATCAAATTCTCTGAGATGAAATCAAATATCTCCCCAACATAATCTTAAAACTCTTCAAAGAGCAAAGAAACTTGCTCTTTAAATTGAGTTAACTAAGAGTTCTACAACTGTAAGACTTTGTATCTTGGCTGGCAAGTTTTGAGCTCTGAAGAAACACACTCAACACATTAATATTTTGTTGGTTATTTTGCTCTTCTGTGGTTGGGCAATCTACTGCTAGGAATGCTGTGGAGGTGATGTGTTCTGAGTGCCTAAGGGAAATAGGACATAGTGGTGCCAAAAAATTATCCATAATTATGGAAAATGTGTCAGAACTTCACTAACACCAAATGCTTTTTTGAAAAGTCATTTCAGATTCTCAAATACCTTAATACCAGATCTTCCATCAAAGAAACAGAATTATTAAAAAGGAGATCTTTGAAGCATTCTAATTCTACCTGCCTTCAACCAAGATGTCTCCTCTTGTTCCTCCCCATACTGGTCTCTGAAAAGAGCAAGCACCTGCATATATGTGTGTTTTGACTTTCTGAACTTTTCAACACCCTAGACTAGACGAAAGCTGAAAGCTGAATACATTTTGACTTTGCTACCCCCATAGAGATTTTCTTTCTTTCTTTCTTTCTTTTTTTCCTGGTACTGGGAATTGAACCCAGAGGTACTTTAACACTTAGTCACATCACCAGCCCCTTATTTTGAGACAGGATCTCTCAAAGTTGTTTAAGGCCTTGCTACATCGTAAGTGCATAAGGCCTCAAACTTATGATCCTCCTGCCTCAATACAGGCTTGTGCCACCAAGCCTGGCCCTCTCTTAAGTTCTTAATTTCTCCAGTACTTCATTCAAAAGCCACAACCCCTTCATTGACTGGCCTCGGGCTGGGGATGTGGCTCAAGCGGTAGCGCAATTGCCTGGCATGCGTGCGGCCCGGGTTCGATCCTCAGCACCACATGCAAAACACAACCCCTTCATTGAAGGCCCTCCAGGGAGGCAGATACACAGCAGTTGGTTCAAGTCCAACTGTAATCAATTTGTTTTCTGTTCCCTCCTCACCATGGTCAGGTCAGGTCAGGTAAGCCGCACCTTCCTCCTCTTCAACAGAGGTCCATGGCAACACATAAGAAGCAAGGTGTGGGGATTTCAAGATGAAATATATAAATCTGGCACATAAGAAGTATTCAGGTAGAATGGTAGAATGTAGTATGTTTTTGTGCCCTTCACTAAGGTCAAACAGGAGGGGCTGGATGTTTAGAAGTCAGTCTACTTTTAACCAGTTCGGCCTTGGGGAAAGGAGAACACCAGTTAGAGGGGCTTTCCTGAGAAGCCTGTCACTAATAGGCCTTCTCCTGATCCCTGGATGTGAGAGGAGAACACAGTATGATTCTTGGCCAAGCCTGGTGAGGCATGCTAGATTTCCTAATGCCAAACAAATATCCAGGAGATCAAAGGACATATGTTAGTTTAAGTAAATATTGATTTATTATCTCAGGTTGAAGGCATTAACAAGATAAGATTGGGCCGTCCAGTGGGATTGCAAGCAGGTTGACAGACTGGTGCATGGATAGTCCAGGTGAGGTGGGATACGTTCTCTTGTTAGAAGCACTACATACGGGCAAGGTGCAGTCCTTCATTCAGTTGATGGTGAGATTTCCCAGGGAGAAAAAAATCACATGGGCCCTGCCCCCAAATCCACACAGACTTCCCAGACTTCTAAGGCCCACATTCAGCAGCAGTTTTCCACTTGGCTCCCTGGGGTGGTCCTCTCTCGAGTCTCCATCAGCTACCTTGACCACAGCATCAAGGGAGACTTCTGCCTGATGGCCTCTGCTTTGCCGATGGCTTTATCCCACCACAGTGGGTTTGCGGGTTCTTCTTCCTCTTCCCCTGGGGGCCTGGGGACCACACTCTGGCTTTCTTCTTTGCACCAGGCCTTCGTGACGTCTTCTTACTGCTTGTGGGAGAAGCAGGCTTCTTGGAGAAGCCTCTCTGAGATGAAGCCTGGTGTGAGCTAGAAGCTAATGTGGCATTGGATGATTGTCTAGCAGCTTTCTCCGACTGCTCCTTTAGCAAGTCCAAGACTGTCACTGGGAGATAAGCATTTATTGAGTGAGAAATCTAAATCCTAAAAATAAATATAAAAGAAGCACCAACCAGAAAACTTACAACTGCATGAAGATTTTTTAATTAACTTTTTTTTTTTTAAGAGAAAGGGTATCACTATGTTACCCAGGCTGGCCTTGAATTTCCAGGCCCACGCAATCCTCCTGCCACAGCCTCCTGAGTAGCTAGAATTACAGGTACACACCTCCATACCTGGCTTGCATAAAGATTCTTTAACCCTAATTCTTTTTATTAATGTTTTTTGTAGTATTGGGGATTTAATCCAGGGCTGGTCTCCCACTGAACTGCATCCCCAACCCATTTTTATTTTTATTTTGAGACAAATTCTCACTAAGTTGCTGAGGCTGACCTCCAACTTGCAATCCTCCTTCCTCAGCCCTCCAAACCCCTGTGAATACAAAAATTCCCTTCAATGGCCTTGATCTACATATCCTCCTTTTTTGATAGGGTCACTCCAGAGATATATGGCTCTGGAATATTTCCCTTAAGATGGTATCCATCTTCTGTAAGTCTTTCCTGTCTACCCACTTTGTCTGGAGGAAGAATTCCTCAAGTTAACTAGGGTACCTTCTCAGTGCCCTGGACTTATATAAGGGAACCTCAGGGCTATATTTACTTATGTGCCATCCCTCCTCCCACTTGACTCTGACATCCTATAGGTCCATTACTGTATCTCCAGGGCTTATCACAGTGCCCATCACAAAGTAAGCACTAAATAACTGATGCTGGATGAATGAATATATGGCCATATAAATAAATGAAAGAAAAAACCAAATGAATGACTAGAGGGCAATTAGTCACAGTAGAGGCAGGTGTCTCTCCCATTCTGATTTTTCGAAGGGATATACAGACTGAGCAACAAGTGACAATCCTCTTAGAGAAACCAAGTCCCTCCACCCTGTTGTTATAGTGTCTTTGCTGAGGGCTCTTCCTGCAGCTCAAGGTCAAGATTGATACCTAAGACTCAAAGAGGAACTCACCAGCAAGTGGCCTGAATTGGATTCGCTTACTGGTGATCTTCACCGGCAATGGCTTATATTTGCACTTGCCTGGGGGTGCTCGCCTGAAAACACAGACAGAAAGGGTAAGGACAGCAAACTGTAAAGATGCAACCAGGAGATCAAGGTCACAGGAAAGCATATGTTGGCATGAATTGGAGTCATCCTTCTATTATCACAGGGATTGGGTAGAAGGAATAGGAATACCCCACAGGCTCAGAGGGAGAGGAGAAAGGCATGGGCATCACAGGGCTTGGGACCTGGGAGACAGTGCAGTGTGGGGTTAGGAATATGGACCTGGGGACAGACAGAATCAGGTTCACATCCTGGTGATCAGCCTTGCTAATTTCTCACCTATAAAATGCAAACTATAAAATACTACTCATCTCACATGGATATGGCAAAGATTAAATAAGAGCTGTGTGCCTGGTGTACTATAAGTGATTAACAAAGAATGAGATTTTTTTTTAAAAAAAAAAAGGCACTCGGAGCAAGGCCTAGCACAGGACATGTGTTCACCAGATGATGGTGGTGGTGGTGGTTCCCCTTTAAGGAAAATCCCTCCCAAAATGCATGGCAGAGCCCTATGTAATGCAAGCCTCTCTGTCCAGCAGCACACTCCTTCTTAAACTGCTCATCCCTGGGTGCATCTTCTGAAATAGAATGGACTTTGGGCAATGTGAGAACTCCCATTATGCAGAGCAGAGCTGAGACTCCCCCGCCCCCAGCAATCCCCACTTTTTCTCTATCTGACTCCAAATCTCCCTTTTGCTAGCATCATCCTTACCCCAGGTGGCGGGGGGGGGGGGGGGGGGGGGGGGGAAGTAATTTGAATTATTTAGGAAGTATTTCTGTAGCACTTAGGCACTATTCTAAATATTTAATAAATATTAACTCACTGGATGCTCATAATAACCCTGTAAGATAGGTACTATCATTAGCCCTATTTATTTAGTTTTGATTTATTTTTGTTCCCAGGGATTGAGCCCAAGGGTGCTTAACCACTGAACCCCACCCCTTTTTTTATTTTTAACTTTGAGGCAGGGTCTTGCCAAGTTGCATACAGCCTTGCTAAGTTGCTGAGGCTGGCTTTGAACTTGCAATTCTCCTGCCTAGGCCTCCCAAATTTGGGGGATTACAGGCATGCGCCACGGCACCCAGCTACTTAAAAGGCTAAGAATCAGGCTCAAGGTCAAGATTAGTCAAAGGCAAAGCCAAGATTCAAAACAAGGCTCTAGGGTCCTTGTTCTCAAGCACGGTATTTGGCTACCTCTAAAGGAAGGGCAGGAGGAAAAGTCAGAAAGAAGCAAAGGATACAGAAATCCATCCATGCCACCCCGAATGCCGGGACAGGTGCACGAAGTGCAAAGACAGGCTGAACGAGCAAGCAGAGCTGAGTCTGGCCCACTGCAGCTTTAGAAGTCTGTGTGATTCAATGTAATGATGACTGAGCCAAGTAAGCAGAGCTGAAATAACTGATCCCAAAGGAGAACTGAGTTCCTATCTTGAGCCCCGTCTTCCTAGCCACCTTAAGGGAGTGATTTAACTTGCCTAGGCTTAGGTTTCCTTAGGCCTAGACTGAGCCGTTAACCTGCTTCACTGGGATGCTGCCACCATTCCAGGAGAACGTGCATGCACAGCACTGAGGGTAGCCCACCACACTGTAATAACTCAATAAATGCCACTGCGGAAAAAGGCGAATGAGTGAGGAGATGTCTTCGGTGGTGGGAGAGGCCTTACTACTACCTTCTGTCTGGCCTCTTACAGCTGCTCTTCTGTAAGAGCTGAATTACCTCCAAACCAAATAAGGAAACTACCAAAGGAAAGAAAAAGTGATTCACACAGGAAACCTTTGTGTGGAAAGACCAGAACCCTCCACCCCAGGCATTATCAACTCACATGAGCACTCTCTCCCTCCCCTGAGTACAGGGGATGTATGCACAGAAGCAGAGACACTCCAGTACCAAGTTCACCTCTTGGCACTTGCTCTCCATTCTCAGCAGAGCCCCACAGGCACAACATAGGGGACTGAGCCTCTTCTAGGAACTTCTGGGAACACACAACCCCAGAGCCCAGTTAAATAGAAGCTGCACATAGGCCTAATGGCTACTGAACACCAGTCACATCTGGGAGACTGGAGCCTCAGAAGGTCATGTTACAAGTCTATCTGTCAGGTGATTAATTCCTGGGTAGACGATCCTGCTTTGAGCAAGAATCCTGAGATAATTGCAGTGCACTGCCCAGACTGCTCAGCGTGGACATACTGCCTCACCCTACAGGAGCAGAAACACTGACCAGACTCAACAACTTCACCAATGAGAAACTGGATTGTGGCTCTGACCCGTTCTGCTGGAAGATGGTTAGTCTCTGAGAGAAGTGGGCAAAGCAACAGCAGTAAACAAAAAAAAAAAAAAGAATCCACCAAGTGATCAGATACTACCACTGATTCCAGAGAAGGTCAGATGGAAATAGAAAGAAAGCTGACTGCTGAAGGTATTGGACAAATAACTTGAGACCTCAACCAAGTCCAGGAGACAGGGCAGCAATAGTTGCTCAGGTGGTTGGGGGTGTATTCCTGTTGTCATATTGCCTCCAGACAGAAATCTCCAGAAGACTGTCTTTTAAAAAATAGGCGCCACAGGGATAGACCAGTCACCATGGTTTCCAACTGCAACAAGACCATTTCCCAAGGAGCCCATAATTCCTAGGGACACATTGTCCTACACACTTGTTTGCCCAAACTACTCTCTTTTAGGGCATAGATGTACTTTGTGATCATTTTTGGTAATTCTTGGGAAGTAAACACTGTTTTTAGGCCACTGCCATGGAGAAAGGGGTTAATAAAAATTAATAAAAATGTGCCTGAGAAGAAATGACACCAAATCTTACCTTGAAGGATCAACAAATTTGTAAATAGATCCATGTGGCGCGTAGGCACTTGGGTAAGAGGTGGCCAGGAAATACAACTCCCCTGAGTAGACAAGCAATAACAGGTCATCAGCAGGGCTGAAACAGGGATGAATGCACAGAAAATGAAATGAGGTAATGGTCCTCAAATGCAGTGAGCCCCAAGAACGGAAGGAACTCTGTAATCCTGATTCAGCCTTCACTGGACTGTGAGCTCCTTGAGGATTAAATCCACCTTTGAATCCTAAGACCAGCTCAGAGCCCAACTGGGCAGCACACACCTGTAATACCAGCAATTAAGAAGGCTGAGGCAGGAAGACCACAAGTTCAAGGTCAGTCTCAGCAACCTAGAATGATCCTTTCTCAAAACAAAAAATAGAAAGAACTGAGGATGTAGTGAAAGGATGCCCTTGGGTTAAATCCACAGTAAAACAAACACACACAAAGACCAGCTCAGAGGGTGGTCCATCAGAACCAGACAGCCTTTTCCTTTATCATCTCTTTGCACTGTGAAACTTCACCTCAGTGAATCTCCATTTCCCCCTGACCCAGCCCTCCATACTGATAAGATTCTCTGAGACTTGGAAATCCACCATCCATAGACCAAGGACCATTATTGGTTGCTTGTCTTCTGTTTTGTTTCCCCTCAGCCTCAATCTCTTGTCCCCCTACCCCCACCCCCTTCCTTCACTCCCTGAGCCATTTATTTCCTCGTGACCTTCCCTACTCTTCAGCCTTTCCTCTGGCTCTTCTCATTGCCCTCCAAAAATCACCTCCATGCCAGGCGCAGTGGCGCACACCTGTAATCCCAGCTGCTCAGGAGGCTGAGACAAGAGTATCAAGAGTTCAAAGCCAGCCTCAGCAATGTTGAGGCACTTAGCAACTCAGTGAGACTCTAAGTAAAATACAAAATAGGGCTGGAGATGTGACTCAGTGGTTGAGTGCCCATGAGTTCAATCCCCAGTACCAAAAAAAAAAAAAAAAAAAAAAAAAAAATCACCTCCATTCACCTTCTCATATATCACTTAGAAAGTGCCCCACTTCTCCCTATATCCTTCTGTTTAAATTTCAGAAAACATTATCAATTCCATTCCCACAATACCTACCTTATTCCACCTGACTTTGTAGTTATCTGTGAGGGACAGTACAGATGAGCCCCACAGTTAGATAGATCTGGGTGTGAATTTTGTGGATTCTGATGACACTGGTTACCAGCTTGTTAGCCTGGGTGACCTCCTAATCTGAATAAACCTCCAGATAGTTATTCATTCATAAAATGGTGATCACAATTGTGAGGCATTCAATTAGGAAGTGTCTGATAATCTGATAATAAATAGAAAGCATTACTTTCTTATTTCTCAAGTCCACATGTAATCTGGGTCATTCTCCAACAGGAGTCCCTCCAAACCATACAAAGACTTCCTGGTCTCAAAGGAGAATCGGAAACCCTGTCCTGCTGCATATTCCCTTCACATAACTACCATCAGTGTAAATTATACATCTTCAACTTGCCGTAGACTTCCCATGTATAGTTAAGGGGAAACAAAACTAGAGGGAATTTTCTTCATTTTATTTATGTTTTTTCTTATTTTTCTAGGGATCAAACCTAGGGCCTTGCACTCTAGAAGCAAATCCCAGCCCAACAGAGGTGAATTTTAACTGTAGTTTCCAATTGATATTTTTAGTATCTATTTTTCTAATTTTTTATTTGTTTTAACTAGTTACACATGACAGCAGAATGCACTTATGCATTTTAGTATATCATACCTAAATATAATTTCTCATTTTTCTGATTGTACATGTTGTAGAAGAATCACATCAGTCATGCAATCATACATGTATATAACATAATAATGTTTGTTTCACTCTATTATCCTTCCTATCACCATATCCTCTCCCCTCCCTTCACTCACCTCTACCTAATCAAAAGTAACTCAATTCTTCCACAGCCTCCCCCCATTATGAATTAGCATCCACATATCAGAGAAATCATTCAGCCTTTGATTTGGGGGGATTGGCTTATTTCACTTAGCAAGATATTCTCCAGCTCCATTCATTTACCAGCAAATGCCATAATTTCATTCTTCTTTAAAGCTGAGTAATATTCTATAACACACACACACACACACACACACACACATACATATCACATTTTCTTTATCCATTCATCTATTGAAGGGCACTTAGGTTGGTTCTATAGTTTAGCTATTGTGAATTGAGCTGCTATAAACATTGATTTATCCACATCACTGTAGTATGCTGATTTTAAGTCTTTTGGGTATAAACTGAGGAGTGGGATAGCTCAGTCAAATGATGGGTCCATTCCAAGTTTTCTAAGGAATCTCCCTACTGATTTCCATAGTGTTTGCACCAATTTGCAGTCCCACCAGCAATGTGTGAGTGTTCCTTTTTCCCCCAACATCCTCGCCAACATTTGTTGTTGCTTGATGATTGCCATACTGACTGGAGTGAGATAAAATGTTAGAGTAGTTTTGATTTGCATTTCTGTAATTGCTAGAGATGTTGAACATTTTTTCATATATTTGTTGATTGATTGTACTCTTCTGGAATAAGACAAGGATGCCCTCTTTCACCACTTTTATTCAATATTGTCCTCTAATTGCTCTAGCCAGAGCAATTAGACAGAAGAAAGAAATTAAACGGATACAAATAGGTAAAGAAAAACTCAAACTATCATTATTTGCTGATGACATGATTCTATATTTAGAAGAACCAAAAAATTCCACCAGGAAACTTCTAAAATGAATAAATGAATTCAGCAAAGTAGCAGGATATAAAAATCAACACCCATAAATCAAACGTGTTCTTATACATCAGTGATGAATCCACTAAAAGAAAAATTAGGAAAACTACCCCATTCAAAATAGCCTCAAAAACTAAAATAAAATACTTGGGAACCAATCTAATAAGAGGTAAAAGACCTCTACAATGAAAACTACATAAAATTAAAGAAAGAAATTGAAGAAGACCTTAGAAGATGGAAAGTCTGCCCATGCTCCTGGATAGGCAGAATTAATATTGTCAAAATGACCATACTTTCAAAAGCATTATACAGATTCAACACAATTCCTATTAAAATCTCAATGAATTCTTCATAGAAATAGGAAAAGCAATCATGAAATTCATTTGGAAAAATAAGAGACCCAGAATAGCCAAAGCAATCCTTGGCAAGAAAAGTAAAGCAGGAAGCATCACAAGACCAGACCTTAAACTATACTATAGAGCTATAGTAACAAAAACAGCATGGTTTTGACACCAAAATAGACACATAGGCCAGTGAAAAGTGTGGGAGGCCGACTAGCACGTGAGTGCGTCTGTCTCCCCTTCTGATTGGTGTGGCATCATCATTTCGTTGGTCACTCTATGATCTGGTTGCCTAGGTAACCAAGAAGATAGCCCCAATCTTTAGGGTGCAAGGGACTGTGTCTTCGTGCATGGGTGTGCCTTCCTACATCCCCATGGGTGGAGCTATGCTCACCTGTTCCTTTGTGATATTACCCCTTGCCCTGTTTGGGATAGAATGTTCCATGGAAACACTATTTGTGTGTCCCCTTCTCTTACTGTGCCCTTGGTGTGGCCTTCCTAGATGTCAGACAACCTGCTGACAACAACATCATGAAGCTAGACTCAGCCCCTTGAAACCTAACCCCTTGCCTCATTTGAATACCTTCTCCTCAATAAAAGGGGTCAACACATGTGGGCTCTGTCTCTCTCTTTCTGCAGACCCTTAAGGTCAGAAGAGCTATCACAGCACCCCCAAAGAGAAAGGTATTTCTGTCTCTTGTGTGGTTATTTCGTGCAGCCCAGTTCCCCTGGAGTGACCCCTGAGTGTTTTAGTCGCGAGCAACCCAGCAAAACAAAATAGAAGACACAAAGGCAAACCCACACAAATACAGCTGTCTCATACTAGACAATGGTGCCAAAAACATTTACTGGAGAAAAAGACAGCCAATTAACAAATGGTGCTAGGAAAACTAGAAAGCCACGTGTAACAAAATGAAATTTAACCTCTATCTCTTGCCCTGCACAAAACTCAATCCAAAGTAGATTAAAGACTTAGGCACTAGAATTGAGACTCTACCTACTAAAAGAAAAAGTAGACCCAAATCTTCACCATGCTGGCTAGGATCTCACTTCCTTAACAAGACCCCTATAGCACAAGAAGTGAAATCAAGAATCAATAAATGGGATTGGATTAAAACTAAAAAGCTTCTTCTCAGCAAAAGAAACAATCCATAACTTGAAGAGAGAACCTACAGAGTGGAAGAAAACCTTTACCACATGCACCTCCAATAAAGCATTTATCTCTAGGATATATAAAGAACTCAATAAACTTAACATCAAAAAAATATATACAAATAACCCAATCAATAAATGGGCTAAGGAACAGAACAGACCCTTCACAGAAGAAGAAATATAATCGATCAACAAATATATGAAAAATTGTTCAACACCTCTAGCAATTTAGAATCTATTTTAAGGAGAAAAAACTACCATATATCATTTGAAACAAAATACATGCAATATGAATTTACTGCAAACATCATTACTTTGGCCAGCCCTCTTGGAAATGAGCTTAGGTGACTGACATTCAGAAATCCAATCAATCAAAACGGCAAGGGGTGGTCCCACACCAGCCATTCACTCAGCAATTATTTATTTATATCAGCTGTCAATTCTGAGCTCAGTAAGTAAACTGTGGCATTAGTTGAGGGAGAGTTCTGGTTCCACTAAAAAATAATTCACCTAATGCTGGTGACTGATAACATAAAATAATGAAAATTTTTAAAAAAGGGTTTTTAAAAAGTCTCCAAGTGGAAAGAATATGCTAAAAGCAAAAAATACAAATTCATTTATGCAACAACAAAAAAACCCACCAGCTCTGGGAGAAATTTATTTGCCTGGGGAAGATTCTCACTGGCTTCAGGGCTGCCCTTGGGCAAATACCTGGCAAGTCCACTTCCTAGAATTCAGCCAAGGACACTTAGTTTTGTTTACCAGATGTACTGACTGGTTTTCCAAAACTACCTGCTTTCTCCTGAGTCGCCTGCAGGCTCAACAAACCAAACCACCAAACCGAGGGGTCTGTGGCCTCCTGTAAAATAGTCACAGAAGATGGCTGCCCAGTGTTCCTGGGCGGCCCTGCCTCTGGGGCTCCACCCTCCAGGGGGCTCATCCACAACCACCCACTTTCCATCCTCCTGCCTGCCTGTCGATCCTCTCCTTTCTTGTATGTTTGTACCTCTAATTTGGAACTCACACTGGTGTTTTTCTGTTAAAAAGGCTTGAACTTTCCAAAATGCCTTCTACTTCTATAAAACCTTCATCTCAAACTATCTATCTACTCATCTGCTAGCTGAGAGGAAAGAATCCAGGAGCTAACCGATCTCTTTATAAATTCTACTCAAGTAAAGATCCTGTACAGCCACCCCGTGGCTCAGAGTGGAAAGAAACCAAACACTCAGGAACTCTTCAAGGCTCTGATGTCCACCTACAGAGAATCCCAGGACTGGAAGAGACTCTAAAAGAGAACTTTATTATCTTCTTTGCCTCTAAGCATGTCTAGATCCAGTGCCAAATACTAAAAAGATCACTATACACACCTGTATAAAAAAAAAAAACAGAATTTATTTAAAATTTGGAAGTGTAATCTCTCAAAATGAAACATAATGTGAAGCTAAAATTAAAAGTCAGTTCTCTAATTATAAAAGTCTTGGAAAATTTTTAGAGCTGAGTGTCTCTTCTCCCCTCTCCTATGTGAGCCCATGCCTAGCTTCAATGATGCCATTATCATGTACCTAGCCACTTCCTATCTACCTAGTTGTCTACTCTTTCTTCAGATTTCTCAGGAAATAAATTCTCCCTTACTCACAAATTCTTGGCAGGGTCAGGCCAACTGGTGAGCCAATCATAAGAGGTCCCTTCTGCTAGGCCATCCCAGGAGGGTAAGCGTTCACAATCCCTTTAGTCTGGCCCCCTGGCCTGCACATGGCCCTGTAACTGTGATTAAGAATAAAGAGGGAGGGGCTGGAGATATAGCTCAGTTTGTAGAGTGCTTGCCTCGAATGCACAAAGCCCTGGGTTCAATCCCCAGCACTGCAAAAAAAAAAAAAAAAAAAAAAAAGAGGGAACCATTTGTGAATCTCTTCATAGTCAAAGGATCAAAAAGACCAAAATGCATACTTGATATGCCCCTCACAATGAGATGTGCAGGTCAAACAAGACAAGTAGGCTGGCACAGCAGCCTATTTATTTGTTGGTTTGTTTGTTTGCAGTACTGGGAATTGAACCCACGACCTTACATATGATAGGCCATTTTACCACTGAGCATCACCCCTAGCCTGAGCCTGTTTATTTGTTGGTGAAATGAACCTAATAATTACGTCACAGAGGTGTTGTTGTTACCAGTTAAGGTGGAAAACATGAAGTGTTTTGAAGAGTACCCAGTATGTTAAAAGAGATGATTAAATGATAATAATAGTAGAAGCAGTATTTACTGTATAAATAATGACAACAATAATAAATGTTCAGTTGATACTTGTGATTATCCAAGTAAAGTAAGCAGACATCAAACTGCTCTGCACATGGATTACCTGCTTCATCTTCAGCAAAGGAGATGATGAACTTGCTATAGGTGCTGATCAACCCTGGGAAAGCACAAGACGAGGTGCTCCCCAGGCAAATGTCTCTCTTCTTCCATTTCTGGGTTTTTCTATCTTCCTGCAAAGCCATAAGTCGACTAGATGAAAAATAAAACCTTGTATTTTAGGAATCCATATTTCCACTCTGCAGGATGTTTTTCCACCTAGAATCAGCAATCATTGAGTGCCAAGGCTAGGTCTCCCACAAAGAGATCAATAACAAGCCTCCCTCAAAGAAGAACCAAAAAGCTGCTTCAGTGATACTTCAGACCCACTTATCCTCCATGGGGAAGCACATTTTCTATTATAAGTTTAATGCCCTGAGAAGACTGCACCACTGCAAAAGACTCATCTTGGGCTGGGGTTGTGGCTCAGTGGCAGAGCAGTTGCCTTGCACATGTGGGGCACTGGGTTCGATCTTCTGCACCACATAAAAATAAACAAAATAAAAATATTGTGTCCATCTTAAAAAAAACTCATTTTTTATTGGTTCTATGACCTTCGGCTAGTTGTCCAACATCTCTAAACCTCAGTTTCCTAATCTATATAATGAAAAAAAAAAATTATAAAGTGAACCAGGCACAGTAGTGCACATCTGTAATCCCAGTGAATGGGGAGGCAGAGGCAGATGAATTGCAAGTTTTAGGCCAGCCTCTGCAAATTATTGAGGCTCTAGGCAATTTAGTTGACAACTTGTCTCAAAATTAAAAAATAAAAATAAAAAGGGCTGGGGCTTGGGGTGTGAGGCACTGGGTTTGATTATCAGCACCATATATAATTGAATGAATAAAATAAAGATCTATCAACAACTAAAAAAAAATTTTTTTAAAGGGCTGGGGATGTAGATCAGCAGTAAAGTGCCCCTAAGTTCAATCCAAAATACCCAAAAAAATATATAAAAAGAGGGTAATGATAATATAGTTTACCATGTAGAAAACTGCAAACATTAAGTAAAATAAGCTATGTAAAGATCTCAACAATGTTGTGACACATAGAAAGGACTCAAAAACTACCAGCTGTTATTATTAAGTTATATGCATGCATGAATATGTCACAATGAATTTCAATATTATTCATAATCATAATTCACCAATAAAAAAAGAAAAACTCAACTAGCTGTTGTTTTTTTATTATTATTATTATTATTATTATTATTATTATTATTATTATCTATACAGAAGCAAGTAGATGCTCCATATATCTCTAGCATCTATCTGAAGAAGAAAAGGAAGCTGGGTAAGCCCAGGGTGCTCAGTGAATTGCCTGAACAGTTTTATAAAGACCAAGCTGCCCAACACCAGGTGATTCTGAGGCATATACTTCAATTAAGAATCACTGCAGGGCTGGGGCTGTGGCTCAGCGGTAACACACTTGCCTGGCATGTGTGAGGCATTGGGTTAGATTCTCAGCACCACATATGAATAAATAAAATAAAGTCTATCAACAACTAAAAAAATATATTTTTTAAAAAAGAATCACTGCATATCATCCAAGTGTGGTGGCACATCCCTGTAATCCCAGCAGATCAGGAAGCAGAAGCAGGAGAATCGAGAGTTCAAAGCTAGCCTTTAGCAACTCAGTGAGACTCTTGTCTCTAAATAACATATAAAAAAAGGGCTATGGATGTGGTTTAGTGGTTAAGCTCACTTGGTTCAATACTCAGTACCAAAAAAAAAAAAAAAAACACTGCATATCAAAAAGTGATATGTGAAGGGGTTATGTGTTTTGGGATGGATAAAGATAAATGAAGTTCCAATGATCTAATAAGTAATGATGAAGGACTAACCAATTAGTAACTATATCATCTCTACAACTAAGAATTGAAGCATGAAAATAACTACATCTTTCCTAAATAAGATGAAGTAATGGGGACTAGATTTACCATCCCACCTTAATGAGTCAAAACCTGTACAAAATAGAATAAGAGTGGTTTAAAAGACATTGACAAGGGCTGGGGCTGGGGCTGGGGCTCAGTAGTAGAGCATTTGCCTAGCACATGTGATGCACTGGGTTCGATCCTCAGCACCACATAAAAATAAATAAATAAAATAAAGATATTGTGTCCATCTACAACTAAAAAAAAAAAATGCTAAAAAAAAAAAAAGACATTGACTATCAGGCAGCATAGGTGTGTCTTCCCTGAGAGATAGAAAACAGATGAGATGAGCCTTGAGATTGTTCTAGATTCTTCCTTGAGAAAGTTCCCAGCACAGAGAGGGAATACATAGGCAGAGCCCAGTAGACTCCCTGAGTTGAAAAGATAGATCTAAGAGTCCAGGAAGATCAAAGCAGTAAAAGTTTGCAGGTCAGAAAATGGAGAGAAGAAAATTACACAGAGAATGATCTTCAGAGATCTTCAAATACTCATCAGTGGGCTCAACAGCAGGCACGAGAGGGGACTACCTGAAGCAAGGGAGAGAATTGGAAGGGAAAGTGTCTGATACTCGTTCCGGGTCAGGAATGGTGCATGCATCATTCACAGGACATTGGCAAAGCCTCAGGAAGGTTTGCCTTAATAGTAAGGAATTGAGAGCTCTAGAAAAAGCACCACTTTGGTCAAATATTAACAGCAAGAAAGGATCAAACTATTATTGAGGAACTTGACTGTGACCCAGAACAAAACTAAAAAATATTTATAGGAACACAAAAATATGCAGCACCTGCAAACTTATATTAATACTTTCTGGTATTAAATAAAAAATTACCATGCAAGTAAAGGAGGAGGAAAATATAACCCATAATAAAGAAAGATCAATTAAAATTGACACACAACTGACACAGGCATTAATATTAGCAGACAAAAATATTAAAATAGCTGGATATGGTAGCAGTCTTGTAAGTTACACCCAATAAAATTGTTCAAATAAAAAAGGCAAAAGCGACATCAACACTTCTTACCCACTCATGAAGTCTCCAAAGATATAGAGGCCATTGAGATTTGGAGATTCACATCCACGATAGACATAGCCCCCAGTGACTGACTTCCCCACTGCGTGGCCATAAGCATAGATTGGCAGAATGTCATCTATCCAGGAACAAGGAAAGACAGTAAGTTTCATCACCAAAAATTAAAAGGAAAGAGGGGGCTTTTTTTCTTAGATGTTGATGGACCTTTATTTTATTCATTTATTTATAGATGGTGCTGAGAATCAAACCCAGTGCCTCACACATGCTAGGCAAGCGCTCTACCACTGAGCCACAACCCTAGCCCCAAAAAGAGGCTTTATAATGCAGTTACCTGATTCAGTGCAAGTCATCAGTAGGACAGGTAGACAAATGGATTGTGTTTATTTTTTTTTCAACAGGCCAGCCACAGTATTTGTGAGCTTCCCAATTGACTGTTATCTAAGCCCAACCCTCCCCTCATCTATAAAGCTGTGTCGTGGAAGATTCAGACACATAAATTTCTCCCCAAGGTTGATGTAGTAGTCAAGTTTAAGAATATGAAAAGTATTGTGAGGATCTGTAAGACTGCTTTGTAATTTAAAGAATCAAAAAGACCAAGAAACAGTGATAGATTCAGCACACTGGAATTTTGATCCAGATGTGGTTTTTAAAACACTTCTTGATTATTGATGCTCAGGGATTATATTCTCCCTTGAGTATAGGTGGAATATCATTTCATTGGGCTGTTACCATTTGGGAAATAAAGAGAAACATGCAGCCACCAATTCTGCTCTGCTTGTGGATCTGAAAATAATTTGCCCAAACATCAAATGGGTAACTTATTTAAAATACAGATTCTTAGTCCATCCCACTCCCCCACCCAAGATGCAAAGCTATCAGGTCTGACCTAGAGCTTCAAAATCTACTTTTTTAAAAAATAGTCTTAACTGGCTTTATTATTTTATCCTAGAATTGGGCAACATTCCATTTCATAATAGAACAAGTGTTCCTATGGTCTGAGCAAGAGTTTGGTTTTAGAGAAAGAGAATAGCTTCAAGAAATCAAAAAAACAAAAGCTGGTCTTTCAAACTTACTTTTTTTCTAGGACTAGGACAGGGCGACAGAATAATAGGAAAATGACTGATGAGTTAACAGCAAAAATCCACTTCTTAACAAGCACCACTAAGGTGTCTAGGGCTAGTAACGGGAGAACCACTCAGGGAAGCAGAGTCCCAAAGGACACAAGTAAGGATTTTAAGGACCTGCAGGACATTAGGATTTTATTCCTCCACTCCTCCTCCTACCCACTCAACTCATTCAAGAAAGCACCCAGACAGCTTCTTACTTACCCAAAGAGGCATTGTGACAAAGATTTTTGTTGTAACACTCAAACCCTTCCTTTGCCCTCCATCCATAGTTCCCGCCTTTAACAATGAGGTCAACTTCTTCAAACCTGTTCTGGCCCACGTCCCCACAGAACATCCGGCCTCGACCCTGGCGTGTAATGGAGTCCCCTCGGTCCACAGCACAGCGCCACATGTTTCTGATCCCATAGGCGTAGATGGCGGGGTGGGCCCCTGGCTCAGAAACAAAGGGATTGTCCAAGGGCACTTGGTAGCGCTTGCTGTCAGAGCCTGCCCCATTCACATCGATCCTTAACACTTTCCCAAGCAGGGAACTTCTGAAAGACAGAAGGCCAAGAATCAGGCTCAGGTAAGCATGGACACAAGACCAGAGGTAACCACCGAGGAGGGCTGATTGACTGATGACAGGAAATGGCTGGGAATCACATAAGGATAAGTACC